AAGTGTTGCAAGTGAATCTTAAACTTCATGAGCAACTGATAATTGAGTAAAGGCTGTTTTCTTTTATACTTTGACAATAGAAAGTTTCTGTTGTCATTTAGGTTTATAGTCATTACAGATAATCTTAAATATTCTCTACTGTTCAGTTTTAATCAAGTAATTTGCACAAATTTGGCAAAAAATCTGACAAGGCTGATTAGATTCTTAGGACTACTGGTAGGGTTGTGAGAAGATGATTTCTGAGTTGTGACTTTTGTTTTTGGTAAAAAAAAAAAGTGAGATATCTGCTTATAGTTATTTTAATCAAAGTTGCAATGAATGGCATGTAAATGATTTATTTTAAATCATTGGTGGAAAAGCCAAGGAAATAAAAAGGAGTGGACCATTGGGGTGATATAAACTGAAAATAGTGAAACTTTGATATATTAGAATCTCTCCATTTTGCCAGATAGATACGCTTACTGAATTTTCATATAGAATAAATAAGAAATAATTTAAAATATATATTATAATGTATTTAATAGAAATTTTAATAAATTTCTTTGTGCAAAAAGTAACTCATGTCAATATGTAAAAAAAGGACATGTTACCTTCTCCCATGACAAAATAGAAAATATACTAATAATGCTTGTAAAAGGCCCTATTGAGAGAAAAGGAGAAATAACATTAATAATGTTTTGTTGGAATGGAATAAAGTAATTTTTTAAAGAACAATTATAGTTTTACTTGGTAGAATAAATTACTGATGTCTTATTGAAAAAATGGAATTTGAATAACATGGATACTGCTTTATTCAAGAGATCAGTGTATCAGAAATCACATAGCTCACAATTCTAGGTGGATCACATTTGGCCAACCATTGATAAATGTCTCCAAATTAAAATTGTGACAAAATAATCACTTTCTGAAACTACACAATTGCTTTAAAAATATATATATATGTTTTATTGTACTTTAGGTTCTGGGGTACCTGTGAAGAACATGCAGGATTTTTGCATAGGTGCATAGATGGCAATGTGGTTTGCTGCCCCCATCCCCATCACCTATATCTGGCATTTCTCCCCATGTTACCCCTCCCCAACTCCCTACCTCTGCTGTCCCTCCCCTAGTCCCCCCCCCCAACAGATTCCAGTGTGTGATGCTTCCCTCCCTGTATCCATGTGTTCTTATTGTTCAACACCCACCTATGAGTGAGAACATGCGGTGTTTGATTTTCTATTCTTCTGTCAGTTTGCTGAGAATGATGGTTTCCAGATTTGTCCATGTCCCTACAAAGGACATGAAATCATCATTTTCTTATGGCTGCATAGTATTCCATGGTGTATATGTGCCACATTTTCCCTGTCCAGTATATCATTGATGGACATTTGGGCTGGTTCCAGGTCTTTGCTCTTGTAAACAGTGCTGCAATGAACATACATGTGCATGTGTCTTTATAATAGAATGATTTATAATCCTTTGGATATATACCCAGTAATGGAATTGCTGGGTCAAATGGAATTTCTATTTCTAGGTCCTTGAGGAATTGCCACACTCTTCCACAATGGTTGAACTAATTTACACTCTCGCCAACAGTGTAAAAGTGTTCCTATTTCTCCGCATCCTTTCCAGCATCTGTCTTCAGATTTTTTAATGATTGCCATTCTAGCTGGTGTGAGATGGTATCTCAATGTGGTTTTTATTTGCATTTCTCTAATGACCAGTGATGATGAGCATTTTTATCCTTCGCCCACTTTCGAATGGGTTTGATTTTTCTTGTAAATTTGTTTTAGGATTGTTAGCTCTTCTTGTTTCATTGGTCCTTTTACCATTATGTAATGCCCTTCATTGTCTCTTTTGATCTTTGTTGGTTTAAAGTCTATTTTACCAGAGACTAGGATTGCAACTACTGTTTGTTTTTGATCTCCATTTGCTTGGTATATCTTCCTCTATCCCTTTATTTTGAGCCTATGTGTATCCTTGCATGTGAGATGGATTTCCTGGATATAGTACACTGATGGGTTTTGACTTTTTATCCAATTTGCCAGTCTGTGTCTTTTGATTGGGGCATTTAGTCCATTTACATTTAGGGTTAATATTGTTATGTGTGAATTTTATCCTGCCATTTGGATTCTACCTGGTTGTTTTGCCCATTAGTAGATGCAGTTTCTTCATTGTGTCGATGTTCTTTACCACTTGGCATGTTTTTGGAGTGGCTGGTGGTGGTTGTTCCTTTCTATGCTTAGTGCTTTCAGGAGCTTTTGTAAAGCAGGCCTGGTGGTGATGAAATCTCTGAGCAATTGCTTCTTTGTAAAGGATTTTATTTCTCCTTCACTTATGAAACTTAGTTTGTCTGGATATGAAATTCTAGGCTGAAAGTTCTTTTCTTTAAGGATGTTGAATATTGGTCCTTACTCTCTTCTGGCTTGTAAGGTTTCTGCTGAGAGATGTGCTGTGAGTCTGATGGGCTTCCCTTTGTGGCTAACCCGACCTTTCTCTCTTGCTGTCCTTAGCATTTTTTCCTTCATTTCAACCCTGGTGAATGTGCCTTGGGGTTGCTCTTCTTGAGGAATATCTTTGTGGTGGTCTCTGTATTTCCTGTACTTGAATATTGGCCTGCCTTGCTAAGTTGGGTAAGTTTTCCTGGATCATATCCTGAAAAGTGTTTTCCAGCTAGGATTCATTCTCTCCCTCACATTCAGGTACACCTATCAAACATAGATTAGGTCTTTTCTCATAATCCCATATTTCTTGGAGGCTTTGTTCATTTCTTTTTACTCTATTTTGTCTATCTTCCCTTCTGATTTTATTTCATTGAGTTGATCTTCAGTCTCTGATATCCTTTCTTCTTCTTGGTCAATTTGGCTTTGAAACTTGTGTATGCTTCACGAAGTTCTCCTGTTGTGTTTTTTCAGCTCCATCAATTCATTTATATTCCTCCCTAAGCTGTTTATTTTCGTTAGCATTTCTTCAAATCTTTTTTCAAAGTTCTTAGTTTCTTTGAATTGGGTTAGATCATGTTCTTTTAGCTCAGCAGTTTCTTATTACCCACCTTCTGAAGCCTGTTTCTGTCAATTCATCACACTCATTCTCCATCCAGCCTTGTTCTCTTGCTGGTGAGGAGTTGTGATCCCTTGGAGGAGGAGAGGCATTCTGGTTTTGGGTGTTTTCATCCTTTTTACACTGGTTTCTTCCCATCTTTGTGGATTTATCTCCCTATGGTCTTTTTAGTTGGTGACTTTTATATGGGGTCTCTGAGTGGACGTCCCTTTTTGTTGATAATGAAGTTATTTATTTCTGTTTTTTAGTTTTCCTTCTAACAGTCTGGCCCCTCTACTATAGGACTGCTGGAGGTCCACTCTGGACCCTGCTTGCCTGGTGATCACCTGCAGCATCTGCAGAACAGTAAGGGTTCCTGCCAGTTTCTTCTTCTATTATCTTTGCTCCAGAAGTATACCCACCAGATGTCAGCCTGAGCTTTCCTTTGTGAGGTGTCTCTTTGGATATATGGGGGTCAAGGAGTTGCTTGAGGAGACAGTCTGTCCTTTATAGGAGCTCAAGCGCTGAGCTGTGGACTCCATTGTTCCATTCAGAGCTGCTGGGCAGGTGCATTTAAATCTGCTGCAATGGAACTCATAACAGGCTTTTTTTTTCCCCCAGGTGATCTGTCCTGGGAAGGTGAAGCTTTATTTATAAGTTCTTGTCATTCTGCTGCCTTTTTTCAGAGATGCCCTGCCCAGCGAGAGTGTAGCCTAGTCACAGTCTGCCAGCAGAGGAATTGCTGAGCTGCTGTGAGCTCTGCCCAGCTGCTGTGTGAACTTCCTTGCTGTTTTGTTTATAGAGGTATAGTTAGAACTGCCTCGGTAGTGGCGGTCTGCCTCGGTAGTGGCGGTCTGCCTCGGTAGTGGCGGTCTGCCTCGGTAGTGGCGGTCTGCCTCGGTTGTGGCAGACCATTCTGGGTCTAGCTGTGCTTGCTGTGAAACTCTCAATCCGGTGTTTCAGATTGCTGGTCTTTGTGTGGGTGGGACCCACAGAGCCAGATCACCTGGCTCCCTGTTTCAGCCCCCTTTTTTTCAGTTGAGTGGGTGACTCTGTCTCCCAGGTGTTCCAGGCACATGTTGAAATGGCACCCAGATTTTTGTGAGTTTTAGTACAGAGACCTGCTGTGCCAGCTGAAACAGCTATGCTGGAGACTGGTGATGCTTTTCCACCTGGGAATCTCCCGATCTGTAGGCAGTAAAATTTCCTTTGGAAATGTGGCGTTCGCTCACCCTATGCGTTCTCACTGGGAACTGCACTCCAGAGCTGTTCCTATTTGGCCATCTTGTATCTGGGTCAAAACTACAGAATTTCATCTATTTTCCTCATAGTTTTGCATGCTGATTAATGAAAAATCATTTGCATGACATTCAAATTAAAGCTTTTAAATATGTGTATTTGTGGGATCTCTCTTTCCCTCTCTCTCTCCATATATATATATATATATATATATATATATAAAATCACATTAAACAAGGCATCAAAAATGATAGGAAATTTGGTCTGTAATTAAACCACAGGAAAAAAATGGAGAAATTTGATGTTTTAAGATGAGACATAAAATGATATTTTGAATTCAGACAATGAACATTCTCATCAAAGAGGATTATTTTATCACTTTTTATAAACGTTGTTATTTTTTGGTTCACTTGGATAATTAAATGCAATTGATATCTTTAGTTAAATACTGAATATATTGTAAAAGAATATTCAAGATGTTCTGAGTCATTTACAGAAAATGTTGTACCCTGTAAAACCAATAATTAACGGCAAGTTAAAATCAAGGAAAGCAGCTACTAATAATTTTACCATTAATATAAGATGATGATATGTTATGCATGAGTCAGATAATATTTTATTAAAAATGAATAAAGACTATGAATAGTTTAGAGACGGCAAGTAGCCAACCTGCTGTTTTCAAAATGCTCACTTATGACTGTTTCCAGACAACACAAATTGATCATAGCACCCTTTTATGGGACCTGAGCTGAGCCTCATATTTCTTTCCACAACTCAAGGCATCATTACCAATGAACTGGATTTGACACTTGAGATGAAATTTCTTTATCATCTCTGAGACAGACAATACCTTTTCTCAGAAAAGGGAATTGAAAGAGGGATTATGTGACTTGGCTCAAATCACATCACAGCTCTGTGATACATCCCAGATTGATATCTGTTTATTTTTATTATTACTATTTTTATAGTATTTGATTCTTTAGGGGGTTTAGTATAGATTCTACATATAGTATCCATTCAACAAATATTTTTAAATGACAGGCTCAATCCTAAGCATAAGTTTCTCATTTCATTATAAAGTAAATGAAGCACATTAACTATTATGGAACTCAGTAGATGGTATTTCTCTTTTGGCTGAGTGCAGATTCTGAGACACTGGTGCTTAAGGAAAAAAGGAGCACTTGAGTAATGAAAAGAGTGCTTACTTTTACTTTTAGAGAAAGTGAAGCTGTATAAATTTAGAGAGGTTTTCTGTGAATTCAAGAATATGCAAAATGGTAAGCCAAGATCATAACATTTTAATTCATTTATTCAATTGTGGGGTTATGAAAAAAAAGTAGGTAACAGCTTCTGTTGAATAGAAATACAATAGAAGGAAGGGAACAGCTTGAGTAAAAGGTATTAAGTTATAGTGTCGATCTATATTTGCTGAATGGATAAAGTATTGATGAGGGCATGCAAAATCAGCTAAAATTAAAGCTGGGTTGGGATTAGTTTGGGAAATTTGTGTTTTGGAGTAGAATTTTGGCTCTAAAATGATTGTCTTCTCAAAGAGCCAACAACTTACATTAAATGTTCATTGCAGCTCACACTGATGCATTTTAATGTCTGACAAGCCAGTTGTTCTCTTGCCTTGTTGCCCTGGCTAGAACCTTCAGTACAATGTTGAATAGAGCTGGTAAGCTTGAATATCCTTGTCTTGTTTCTGATACTGGAGGAAAAGCATCAAATCTTCCACCATTAACTATTATAAGTTAGCTACAGGTTTTTGTAGATGCCACTTTGATAAACCTCAACCTGATGGTTGAGGAAGTTCTTATCTATTACTAGTTTGTTGAATGTTCTTACCATGAAATGATGTTGAATTTTGCCAAATGCTTTTTCTTAATCTATTAACATGATCATCTACTTTTTGTTTATTCTATAGATATGAAGTGCTTTTTCAGACATTAAACCAGCTTTGCAGCATTTGGTTATGATGTATAATTCTTTTGATATATTGCTAGATTTTGTTTGCTAATATTTTGTTGGTTTTTGTATCCATATTTATAGTTTTCTTTTTGTGTAATGTTTTAGTCTAGTTTTGGTATGAGGGCAATGCTGGCCTCATTAAATGAACTGAGAAGTGTTTTCTCCACTTCCATTTTGTTTTGAAATGTTTGATAAGAATTGGTATTAATTGTTCTTTAAGTGTTTGATAGAATACAGCAGTGAAGCCATGTAGGCCTAAGGCTTTCCTTTGTGGGAAGTTTTTGTGCTATTCAATCTATTCTCGTTATGTCCATTCAGATTGTCTATTTCTTCTTGAGTCTTTTTAACTAGTTTGTCTCTTTCTTCATTTCATCTAATTTAACTAATTTATTGGTATACAATTTTTAGTAGTACTTTTATAGTCTTTTATTTCTATAGGTTCATTAGTAATGTCCCCTTTTTCATCTATGATTCTAGTAATTTGGTGCTTCTCCTTTGTATTGTTGTCTATGTATTAATAATAGCTAACGCTTTGTCACTTTTGTTGATTTTTGTCAAAGAGCCAACTTTTGGTTTCATTAGTTTTTGTTTTATTTTTCTATTCTCTATTTCTTTAACCATAATAATTATTTAGTTTATTTTGCTTGCTTTGGGCTTAGTTTGCTCTTCTTTTTCCAGGAACTTAAGGTGAAAGTTTAAGTGATTTGATATCCTCTTTCTTAATATAGGCATTTACAGCTACATATTTTCCTCTAAGCATTGCTTTAGCTGCATCTCACAAATTTTGATATGTTGTATCTTCATTTTGATTAATCTCAAAATATTTTTGACTTTGCATTTTATTCCTTTTTCAACTTATTATTTAGGCATGTGTTGTTTAATTTTCACATATTTGTGAGTTTCTCAAAATTTTTCCTGTTATTGATTTCTAATTTCATTCCATGGTGGTCAAATAATACACTTTGTATTATTTTTGTTTTAAATTTACTGCAGTTGGTTTTATGGCTGAACATGTGCTCTCTCCTGGAGAATGTTTTATGTGTACTTGGGAAGAATAGATATTCTGTTGTGGTTGGATGGAATGTTCTATAAATATCCTGTGGGTCTAGTGGTTAATAGTGTTATAAAAGTCTTCTATTCAAATGTTATTCTTCTGTCTAGTTTTATCCATTATTCAAAGTGGGATATTAAAGTCTGCAACTATTGTTGTTCATATCTCTCTCTGTTTCTATTAGTCTGTTTTATGTATTTTGGTATTCTGCTATTATGTGCATATAGCTATAATTGTATCTACCTGTTTGTCCCTTTTATGTTTTTAAACTGTTACTTTTATTTCTAGCTTTTTTTTGGTTTTAAGATGTATTTTATATAATAGTGGTGTAGCACTCCAGTGTTCTTATGATTGTAGTTTGCATGACATAACCATTTCTATCCTTTTACTTTCAATTTATTGGCACATTTAAGTCTAAAGTATGTCTGCAGTAGATAGCATGTAGTTAAATTATGTTATGCAGTCTAACAATCTTTGCCTTTTGATTGGATTCTGTAATCCATTCACATTTAATGTTTTCATTGATATAGTTGTATTAATGTCTGTGATGAGTAAGAGGTACCCGGTAGGTATCCTTTGAGGAAAAGCTAAAGGAAGAGAGAAGTGTAAGTGATGTGGACCTTTGCCTTTATCTCATCCAAGTGACTTACATATATATCTAACATATGGTGAACTCTTGAGTACTTAGGATTAGGAAAGGGGAGAAGAGAGGTCAACAGAACAAGGCACCAGCCACTTAGTGCAGTTACTCTAAGCCCAGTACTTACTGCATGAACTTGAGTAAGTCACTGTTCTTTTTGAGCTACAACTTCTTTATCTCTAAAGTAGATGTAGCATTACCTACTTTACAGGGTTGCTGTGAAAATTAAGTGCCCTGGTGTGTACAATGGCACCTGGAACTTGGCCTGGCTTGTGGTGCATACTCTCCACCATTCTTTTTTTAGTGTTCTCCTTTGTGGAGGGATTTGAGACTGTAGAATTGAATAGACATTTAAGAAGTTTTGTGAGTGATCCAGTACCAACTTTAAGCACATATAGATAGCAACTCTCTATAACCATGCACATTACACTCTTGTGTATCTTTATAAAAGAAAAATTCTACCATGTGTCACTTCTAATAAATAGTGTGCAAGCCAAAGGGCCTACTTGAAGAAAACCAGTGAGGATGCAGAACTTTGTTTAAATAAAACAAGATTCTAGATGACTAGAAGGTGAAAACTACACTAATAGTTCCAAAGTTCATGATAAATGAATTAGGAAAGTAATCAAAAAGACTTAGCAAAGCAATGCAGTCATTCTTCATCTTAATGAATCTCTTAAAGTGTAAATAAAAGGAGAAAGATGAAAGTAATTATTGACTGTGTACCTAGTTGTTGGAGCTGCTGGTATCTCCAAGGAATACAGCTCATAAAGCTGAGGCTTTAGGTGAATGTACATATATATCATGTAGCTGCCTTAGAGCTGGGGAATGATATATCACGTTTACATAGTGGACATATAAATACTTAGTTTAATGAACATGTTACGTAGAACTCCATCCTTTTGTCAGGACTGCTGAATTTGTAGAGTGAGTTTCTTGGGTGTTAGGAGGTCTAGAGAGAACATGGCAGTAACCATCAGATGCTTGAGTTAGCTCTCATTTTAGCAATCCTTGCTGGATAGATAAGACTTTAAATTTCCCTGCCTGCCATTGAACAGCGAAAAAGTCAGAAGACAAATGAAAAAGAAAACATTTTTGGCAAGCATTTCATGAAAGGAAGAGGAATGATCCACAATATTATTATTGCTATGAGAAATGTAATAAATGTTGTTTCTGACTATTGTGTCAGAGGGTAGGTTTGCTGGAGCAGATTTTATGAGTCAACCCAAGAAAATACTTTGAGTTGGGAAATTCCTGTTCATTTTAATGATGAATAAGGAATATGCAGATTAGCCTGGTCATTTGGACTGACAACAATTAAGTCATCTTGGCCAGTAAGTTGTATAATAACTCTAATTATATAATGATCACATTACTTGACATGGTGGCTGAGGATCAGAGCAGGAGGAGACCATACAATACTTAGGGGCTGGTTGCAGTAAAGTTCTGCATAAAAGATAATGTTTCCAGGATGAAGTAAGACACCAGTCAGCAGTTGAAAGCTCTGGAACAGAGAGAAGATCTATTAAGGGCAGATTGCTGGGGCCCAAGTCAAACAGAATTCTAGTTCCAGCCCACTTTTTAGTGTGGGCATATCCAGCTGTGTTGAGGATATTGGAGTGCTGGCTGTAGCTGTTTTGGGATCCCAAGTTCCAGACACTTGACTAATTTCTCTCTTCACCTCCTGGAGAAGGCAAGGTGCTAAATATCCAACAGATTTGGTTAGAATTGACACAAAGATTAAATGTAGCTACTTTTTTCCAGCTGAAACTCTTTAGGGCCTGATACTGAGCAGGGCTGAACAAGGCTGAGATTGACATACTCTTTGTTGTGTGGCCCAAGGCTGCCTTTTGGCTTGCAGATACAACTGATATTTACAGAGCCTTTTGTTGTCTGCCATTAGGTTATATCTAAACAGAAAAATATGCCCAAAGAACAGTCAATCCAAAACTTCAGACATTTTCATAGCAGAATTGAATCAACTATAATCAAATGGATATATTATGTCTAAACCAATCCTAAAATGACCTTCCTCTAAAAATAACGGTTCTGAAAAAGGTCAATTCTGTTGTACTGTGTGGTCAAGGTCTAAATTATTTGCCTCTTAAAATCTTTGTTCTAAAAGAATAATGTTACAGGGATGGTCACTAAAAAGATCCTGCCTCTTCCTGTTGCTTCTGTGAGTCAGAATTATTATACTGTGGTAACATGGAGCACATGACAGCAAAAGGTTGCCTCATGATTTCTAGGAAACTTTCTAGACCACATTCTCTTCAGTCCTCCGGTCCATGGTGAAAGCTACACCTAGTTTGTTAATCACCAGGAAAACCATGCTCTCTCTTTAAATTCTTTAAAGGTATAACAATGAAAAAAGTGTGAACTATGTTTAATTTTGTTTGCTGATATTTAATAAATGAGTTAATATGTGTAATCTTTTCCCAGGTTTGCCAAACATTCAGAAAATTTGAACAGTTACGATTGCCTCACTGGGAGAGATTTATATAAAAAAATTCTATTTTTTTCCCAAAATTAAAATGATGATAGCATATTAAAGGGAAATATACTACCCATTGTGGGTGTCTGAACTCTAGGGATTACAATTTTGGCCAAGATTGTTGGATTTCTAATTACGCATAGTTTTGCTATTATATTCTATTTTAGTGGTGAGATCTTTATGATAAGGGGCAGGAGAAAGAAAGAGATTATGAATATAGTTTATTTAACAACATGTTTTTTTTTAAAAAAATTTGTTATACTTTAAGTTCAGGGGTACATGTGCAGAACATGTAAGTTTATTACATAGGCATACAAGTGCCATGGTGGTTTGCTGCATCCATCACCTCGTCATCTACATGAGATATTTCTCCTAATGCTATCCTTCCCCAATTCGCCCACCCCCTGCCATCCATCCCCCTAGCCCCCCACCGCCCACAGGCCCCAGTGTGTAATGTTCCTCATTACCTGTTCCCCTCTCGGTGTCCATGTGTTCTCACTGTTCACCCACTTATGAATGAGAATGTGGTGTTTGGTTTTCTGTTTCTTGTATCAGTTTGCTGAGAATGATGGTTCCAGATTCATCTGTGTCCCTGGAAAGGACATGAACTCATCCTTTTTTATGGCTGCATAGTATTCCATGGTGTATATGTGCCATATTTTCTTTATCCAGCCTATCAGTAATGGGCATTTGGGTTGGTTCCCAGTCTTTGCTATTGTGAACAGTGTTGCAATAAACATACATGTGCATGTGTCTTCATAATAGAATGATTTATAATACTTTGGGTATGTACCTAGTAATAGGATTGCTGGGTCAAATGGTATTTCTATTTCTAGATCCTTGAGGAATTGCCACACTGTCTTCCACAATGGTTGAACTAATTTACACTCCCACCAACAGTGTGAAAGTGTTCCTATTTCTCCACATCCTCTTCAGCATCTGTTGTCTCCAGATTTTTTTAATGATTGCCATTCTAACTGGCATGAGATGGTATGTCAATGCTCGTTAGATTTGCATTTCTCTAATGACCAGTGATGATGAGCTTCTTTTCATATGTACATTGGCTGCATAAATGTGTCTCTTGAGAAGCATCTGTTCATATCTTTTGCCCACATTTTGATGGAGTTGTTTGTTTTTTTTCTTGTAAATTTAAGTTCTTTGTAGATTCTGGATATTAGCCCTTTGTCAGATAGGTAGATCACATTTTTTCCCCCCAATCTGTTGGCTGCCAGGTCACTCTAATGATAGTTTCTTTTGCTGTGAAGAAGCTCTTTAGTTTAATTAGATCCCATTTGTCTATTTTGGCTTTTATTGCCATTGCTTTTGGTGTTTAGTCATGAAGTCCTTGCCCATGCCTATGTCCTGAATGGTATTACCTAGGTTTTCTTCTAGGGTTTTTATGGTGTTAGGTCATATATGTTTAAATCTTTAATCCATCTGGAGTTAATTTTTGTATAAGGTATAAGGAAGGGATCCAGTTTCAACTTTCTGCATATGGATAACCAGTTTTCCCAACACCATTTATTAAATAAAGAATCCTTTCCCCGTTGCTTGTTTTTGTCAGGTTTGTTAAAGATCAGATGGTTGTAGATGTGTGGTGTTATTTTTGAGGTCTCTGTTCTGTTCCATTGGTCTATATCTCTGTTTTGGTACCAGTACCGTGCTGTTTTTGTTAATGTAGCCTTGTAGTATAGTTTGAAGTCAGCTAGTATGATATCTCCAGCTTTGTTTTCTTTTTGCTTAGTATTGTCTTGGCTATGTGGGCTGTTTTTTTGGTTCCATATGAAGTTTAAAGTGTTTTTTTCCAATTCTGTGAAGAAAGTCAATGGTAGCTTGATGGGGATAGCATTGAATCTATAAATTACTTTGGACAGTATGGCCATTTTCATGATATATATTCTTAACTATGAGTATGGAATGTTTTTCCATCTGTTTGTGTCCTTTCTTATTTCCTTGAGCAAGCTCTCCTTGAAGAGGTCCTTCACATCCCTTGTTGATTGTATTCCTAGGTATTTTATTCTCTTTATAGCAATTGTGAATTGGGAGTTTGCTCAAGATTTGGCTCTCTGTTATTGGTGTATAGGAATGCTTGCTGAAGTTGCTTATCAGCTTAAAGAGATTTTGGGCTGAGATGATAGGGTCTTCTAAGTGTACTTCATGTCATCTGCAAATAGAGACAATTTGACTTCCTCTTTTCCTAATTGAATATGCTTTATTTCTTTTTCTTGCCTAATTTCCCTGGCCAGAACTTCCAACACTACATTGAATATGAATGATGAGAAAGGACATCCTTGTCTCGTGCCAGTTTTCAAAGGGAATGCTTCCAGTGTTTGCCCATTTAGTATGATACTGGCTGTGGGTTTGTCATAAATAGCTCTTATTATTTTGAGATACATTCCATCGACACCTAGTTTATTGAGAGTTTTTAGCATAAAGGGCTGTTGAATTTTGTCAAAGGCCTTCTCTGCATCTATTGAGATAACATGTGTTTTTTATTTTTGGTTCTGTGTATGTGATGGATTATGTTTATAGATTTGTGTATGTTTAACCAGCCTTGCATCCCAGGGATGAAGCTGGCTTGATCATGATGGATAAACTTTTTGATGTGCTGCTGGATTCGGCTTGCCAGTATTTTATTGAGGATTTTCGCATCAATGATCATCATGGATATTGGCCTGAAATGTTCTTTTTTAGTTGTGTCTCTGCCAGGTTTTGGTATTGGGACGATGTTGGTCTCATAAAATGAGTTAGGGAGGATTCCCTCTTTTTGTATTGTTTGGACTAGTTTCAGAAGGAATGGTACCAGCTCCTCTTCATACCTCTGGTAGAATTTGGCTGTGAACCTGTCTGGTCCTGGACTTTTTTTGGTTGGTAGGCTTTTAATTGCTGCCTCAATTTCAGACCTTGTTATTGGTCTATTCAGGGATTGACTTATTCCTGGTTTAACTTGGGAGAATGTAAGTGTCCAGGAATTTATCCATTTCTTCTAGATTTACTGGTGTAGTTGCATAGAGGTGTTTGTAGTAATCTCTGATGGTAGTTTGTATTTCTGTGGGAATGCTGGTGATAAATCCTCTTCATCATTTTTTATTGCATCGGTTTGATTCTTTTTCTTCTTTATTATCCTGGCTAGCAGTCTATTTTGTTGATCTTATCAAAAAACAGCTGGATTTGATTTTTTTTTTAAGGGTTTTTTGTGTCTCTATCTCCTTCAGTTCTGCTCTGATTTTAATTATTTCTTATCTTCTGCTGGCTTTTGAATTTGATCTTGCTCCTCTAGTTCTTTTAATCACGGCATTAGGGTATAAATTATAGATCTTACCTTGCTTCTCTGGTGGGCATTTAGTGCTATAAATTTTCCTCTAGACACTGCTTTAAAGGTGTCCCAGAGATTCTGGTACATTATGTCTTCATTCTCACTGGTTTCAAACACCACCTTTATTTTATTTATTTTTTATTGCATTTTAGGTTTTTGGGTACATGTGAAGAACATGCAAGATTGTTGCATAGGTACACATGTGGCAGTGTGATTTGCTGCCTTCTTCCCCATAACCTATATCTGGCATTTCTCCCCATGCTCTCTCTTCCCAACTCCCCACCCCCCACTGTCCCTCCCCTATTTCCCCCCCAACAGACCCCAGTGTGTAGTGCTCTCCTCCCTGTGTCCATGTGTTCTCATTGTTCAACACCCACCTATGAGTGAGAACATGTGGAGAACACCTTTATTTCTGCATTCATTTCATTATTTAACTATTAGTCATTCAATAGTAAGTTGTTCAGTTTCCACATAGTTGTGCAATTTTGAGTGAGTTTCTTAATCCTGAGTTCTAATTTGATAGCACTATGGACTGAGAGACTGTTTGTTATGATTTCCATTCTTTTGCATTTTGAGGAATGTTTTACTTCCAATTATGTGGTCAATTTTAGAATAAGTGTGATGTGGTGCTGAGAAGAAACTATATTCTGTGGATTTGGGGTGGGGAGTTCTGTAGATGTCTGTTAGGTCTACTGGGTCCAGATCTGAGTTCAAGTCCCTGATATCCTTGTGAAATTTGACTCATTGATCTCTCTAGTGTTGACAGTGGGGTATTAAAGTCTCCCACTATTATTGTGTGGGAGTCTAAGTCTCTTTGTAAGTCATTAAGAACTTGCTTTATGTATCTGGGTTCGTATGTATTGGGTGCATATATATTTAGGATAGTTAACTCTTATTGTTGCATTGATTCCCTTGACCATTATGTAATGCCCTTCTTTGTCTCTTTTGATCTTTTTTGGTTTAAAGTCTGTTTTATCAGAGACTGAGATTGCAACCCCCTGCTTTTTCACTCTCCATTTGTAAATCTTCCTCCATCCCTTTATTTTGAGCCTATGTGTGTTTTTCCACGAGATGGGTCTCCTGAATACAGAACACAAATGGGTCTTGACTTTTTATCCATTTTGCCAGTCTGTGTCTTTTGATTGGGGCATTTAGCCTATTTACATTTAAGGTTAAATATTGTTATGTGTGAATTTGATCCTGCCATTTTGATGGTAGCTGGTTGTTTTGCCCATTAGTTGATGCAATTTCTTCATAGTGTCAGTGGTCTTTACAGTTTGGTATATTTTTGCAGTGGCTGGTACTGGTTGTTCCTTTCCATGTTTAGTGCTTCCTCCAGGAGCTCTTATAAGGCAGGCCTGGTGGTGACAAAATCTCTCTGCAGTTGCTTGTCCACAAAGGATTTTATTTCTCCTTCACTTTTGAAGCTTAGTTTGGCTGAACATAAAATTCTAGATTGAAAATTCTTTTCTTTATGGATGTTGAGTATTGGCCCTCACTGTCTTCTGGCTTGTAGGGTTTCTGCTGAGAGATCGGCTGTTAGTTTTATGGGCTTTTTTTTGTGGGTAACCCAACCTTTCTCTCTGGCTGCCCCTAGCATTTTTTTCTTCATTTCAACCCTGGTGAATCTGACCATTATGTGCCATGGGTTGCTCTTCTTGTGGAATATCTTTGTGGCGTTCTCTGTATTTTTTGAATTTGAACATTGACCTGTCTTGCTAGGTTGGGAAATTCTCTTGGATGATATCCTGAAGAGTGTTTTCCAACTTGGTTACATTCTCCCCGTCATATTCAGTTACACCAATCAAACATAGATCAGGTCTTTTCACATAATCCTATATTTCTTGGAGGCTTTATTCATTTCTTTTCACCCATTTTTTCTCTAATCTTACCATATTACTTTATTTCATTGAATTGATCTTCAATCTCTCACACCCTCTCTTCCAGTTGATTGATTAGGCTATTGAAATTTGTGTATGCTTCATGAAGTTCTCATGCTGTGTTTTTCAGCTCCATTAAGACATTTATGTTCTTCTCTACACTGGCTATTTTAGTTAGCATTTCATCTAACCTTTTTTCAAGATTCTTATTTCCCTTGCATTGGGTTAGAACATGTTCCTTTAGCTCAGAGAAGTTTGCTATTACCCACCTTCTGAAGCCTGCTTCTGTCAATTCATCAAACTCATTCTCCATCCAGTTTTCTTCCTTTGCTGGTTAGGAGTTGTGATCCCTTGGAGGAGAAGAGGCATTATGGTTTTGGGCAATTTCAGCTTTTTGTGCTGGTTTCTTCCCATCTTCATGTATTTTTCTACCTTTGGTCTTGAAAGTTGGTGACTTTTGTGTGAGGTCTCTGAGTGGATGTTTTTTCTGTTGATATTGAAGGTGTTTCTTTCTGTTTGTTAGTTTTCTTTCTAACCGTCAGGCCCCCTCTGCTGCAGGTCTGATGGAGTTTGCCTGTGGTCCATTTCAGACCCTGTTTGCCTGGGAATCACCAGCAGGGGCTGCAGAACAGCAAAGAGTGCTGCTTGTCCCTTCTGGTAGCTTGGTTCCAGAAGGTAACTGCCAGATGTCAGTCAGAGCTTTCCTGCCTGAGGTAACTTCCAGTGAGGATACACTGGGGTCAGAGAGCCACTTGAGGAGGCAGTCTGTCTCTTATCTGAGCTCAAACACTGTGTTGGGAGATCTGTTGCTCCCTTCAGAGCTGCTGGACAGGGATGTTGAAGTCTGCTGAAGGGTAACCCACAATTGCCCCTTTTTCCAGGTGCTCTGTTCCAGGAAGGTGGGGGCTTTATTTATAAGTCCCAGATGGGCTGCTGCCTTTTTTCAGAGATGCCCTGCCCAGCAAGGAGGGAGTCTAGTTGACAGTCGACCTACAGAGACCTTGCTGAGCTACTGTGGGCTCCACCCAGTTGCTGTGTAAACTTCTCAGCGACTTTGTTTACATAGGTGAGGTTAAAACTGCTTACTGAAGCCTCAACAATGGCAGATGCCCCTCCCCACAAGGAGCTGAACCATCCCAGGTAGAACTCAGACTGCTTTGCTGGCTGCAAGAATTTCAAGCCAGTGGATCTTAGGTTGCTGGTATTCATGGGGGTGGGACCCACTGAGCCAGATCATATGGCTCCCTGCCTTCAGCCACCTTTTTCAGGGGAATGAGCAGTTCTGTGTTGCTGGCATTTCAGGTGCCACTGGGGTATGAGGAAAAAAGAAAAACTGCTTCGGCTCAAATAGCTGCCCAATTTTCTTCTGGAAACCCAGGGCACTGGTGTTGTAGGCACCAGAGGGAATCTACCGGTCTGCAGGTTGTGAAGACAGTGGAAATGTGCAGTATCTGAACCAAAGTGTCGGAGTGTCGGGAAACATCCCTAATGGCTTCCCTTGGCTAGGAGAGGGAGTTCTTCAGCCCCTTGCACTTCCTGGGTGAGGATATGCCCCACTCTTCTTTGGCTTGCCTTTCTTGGGCTGCACCCACTGTCTAACCAGTCCCAATGAGATGAACCTGGTACTTTGGTTGGAAATGCGGAGATCACTGACCTTCTGGATTGCTTTCTCTGGGAACTGTGGACCAGAGCTGTTCCAATTCAGCTGTCTTGGCCTGCAGCAACATATTTCTCGTTGTTAAGTAAATTAGATCCAGATATTTAAAATAATTAGTGTTGGGTGATGTGATGTAGAGTTTACACTTTTATATCTCAAATCGGTATCATTAAATTCATATTTTGCAATAATGAAATTCTGACCATTTTCAGTGAACCCTATAAATTTTCATGTACTTTGATTACATATTGCTCTCTCTATAGTAAGATCAAAGTTTGATTTAGTGGAAAGTGTATTCTGTCTTGCAGTCAGAATATTTGGGTTTGAATCCAGATGGCTCTACCTATTGAGTGTGTAAACTTATGAGGTTAAGTTATTTAATCCTGTCAGGTCTCAGTTGTCTCATCTGTAAAATGGAAACAATAATAGTTTGGTCACCACGTAATATTGGAGATGGACTTTGAATGCAGCTAGACTAGTGTTGATGCTTGGTAGTGCAGCCATGTGGTGGATACATGGCTGTTCCAGGTAACCTTGAAAGTCATATCCAACCTTAGCTTCCTTGACAAATAGGCTATAAAGGGTTCTTTGCACTGTTTTTCATTCAAGTCACACACTATTGGGCATTTACTATGTATCAGTTACTCAGCTGTGTCCTTGGTGGTTATATATGGGGGACATGATCACGTGGGGGAAAGGAATACATTCACCTCTTTTCTGCCTTTTTTCTGCACGTTCCAGCTCACCCAGAACTTGTCCCTTGACTCTGTCTCCATTGACTGTGTCCAGCATCTTGTGCTTCCTCCTTTTTAGGGCTCATTCTCATCCTCTGAGGTTTTTCAGAGGGTAAGTGAATTAATACAGTCAAACACTTAAAGCAGTTTCCTGGCGTTAAATAAATACTCCATAGTTATAGTTATTGTTATCTGCCCATTTCCCCTGAGCTGTGGTTTATTCTACTGGGTTGGTCACCTTCTATTCAGGTCCCTTCTGGGAAAGAATTTTCCTTACTGTCTGTGAGGAATACAAGAAAGATAAGGGCAAGGATAAGAGTGTTGGCATTTAGATGAAAAACAATATTGGGAATGACCTTTGTTAGATAAGA